AGTCTTTTGGCCTTTCTATCGGTTTCGACTTTTTCTTTATCATCGTCGTCCCAATTTCTTTCCTCTTTTGGCATGTAATATGCTGGAATTTTAGCTGTGGTACTTGTTCCTGGAACTCTTGGAACTAGAGTTTGAGGGATGTAAGGACCCTCCTGTATGGATATTCCTCTCTCTGGTCCATACCCTCCAGAAAGTTTACCATTGAGGATATTTCTCTCTTTGAAGAGTTGGCGGCTTTGTGAGGGAGACAACATTGTATGCTGAATTCCAGTTGGCCATTGAAGGATTTTCGAGAAGAAGAAAGAATTTTTTGATGAGAAGGAAGATTAAAATATTGAGATATTTTAAATGATCGTTTGATTGGATAATCAATCAATAGGCTCTGATACCAATTGTTGATCTCATATCTCTCAATAACACTAATAATCTAGTTATAAATAACCAAATATAGTGATTTTACGAAGAAAGTTATGAACTCTCAAAGATAACATAAGAACATTCAAGAACGACTTTGAACTTCAAAGGTTTTTTTACTTTATATCGCACATATGCTCACGCTCATATGCTCACGCATATTTTACAATAGGCCTAATCACCTATTTATACTAGATGGCTAATGCTAAGATAACTATCTATTGCTACTTTCTAGCAAATAGTGTAGCTAATAGATAAAGTTTATCTTTTACATGGATAAGCATTATTAACAGGATAAACTACAATTCCAGCTGTTGACTTGTCATCTCCAGCTGTCATTATCTATGTGGTGATTTCATCCTTATCTTCAAGTCTTCATTGCACGCTTGGATGAATACTTAGAAAATCTGCTAAGTGTTAGTCTGTCCATCGTATCAATGAGAATACTTTCCATCGCATCATCCATCGGTCCGCTGGTTGAACTTCGTCCATCGGTCCAATGGTTGGTCTTTCCATCGATGCTCTGGATAATCTTTTCATCGATCCAGACTTAGTCGATTCTGCCTTGATGTCTCCATTGGTCTTCTGGTTCTTCATCACTTATTGTTTTTCATTACTTTTTACATTTTACATTATGGGTTCTAACAGAAACCTAAGTCTGACCGGGTTTCATTTAAAACTTCCAGAAGCTGTGGTGCTACAGAATATGCAGGGTAATCAGACCCCAAAATGGCGATGCAATGGATCCAGAACACGGAAAAGGTGTTCCAAATTACCAAGGTACTGGATAGCGATAAAGTAAAATATGCATCTGCGATGCTCATAGAGCGAGCCCTGGTGTGGTGGAATGCCACGTATGAGTCTTTAGACACAACGACACGTAACAGTTTGACGTGGGACGAATTTCTGAAAAAGTTCTTTGAACAATATTGCCCTGTTGACCTACAAAGGCATCTTGAAAAGGAGTTCTTGGATCTGAAGCAAGGTAAGATGACAATACTTGATTATGAAACTGAATTCAACAAGAAGGCACGATTCGCACAACGATTCCTGAACTCCGAACAGGATATGATCGAACATTTCATTGGAGGACTACGGAAGGAGATTCGAAGTTTTGTGGTAAGTCGTGATGGTTCCAGTTTTAGCAAGATAGTCGAATACGCTCGGCGTTGTGAGTATGAATTATCCATTCCTGATGAAAATGAACCGATGTCGAAACATCCGCGAACTGAAAGGATGATGTCCACCCCAACACAACGGTTCTCTCGATTTTCCAACCAGAGGAGAATTCAAACTCAGAGTACCCCACGTGTATCCTCTTAGGCATTTAGCCTTCAGTCAAGCACACCAAGAGACTATGGAGGTGCGGAAAGACACACCAAGGCCGGTGTGATACGGATAGATCTGTCATTAAATGCTTTTGTTGCGGTGAAGTGGGTCACATTAGGATGAATTGTCCCCAGAGAGATCTTGCATGCTTTTCCTGCGGAGTGTTAGGGCATCGTATTAAAGATTGTCCCCGTATAAAAAAAGATGAAAGCAAAGCCTCGGTACAACAACCAACGAGAGTGGGTACTTCAACCCAAAAGAAGGAGGTGCCCAGGGCACGAGCCAGGGCTTTTCAAATCATAGCAGAGGAGGCAATGAAGGAACCGGACGTCATAACAGGTATTTTCCTTCTCAATGATAGACCTGCATGCATTTTGTTTGACTCGGGAGCCACGAATTCTTTTGTGTCACTTTATTATACTCAGTACCTCGATTCTGTGCCAACCATGCTTAAAAAACCTTTTAATGTCGACACTGCGAACGGAGTAACACTCGTAGCTGATAAAGTTTATAAAGACCGTAAATTAGACTTAGATGACCATAAGTTCACAGTTGATTTGATTCCAATGGATATTCATAACTTTGATGTGGTAATTGGTATGGATTGGTTGACGAAGAACCGAGCAGAAATCATTTGCTCGCGGCGAATGATACAAATTCTGATGGAAAATGGAGAATTCTTATATGTCTACGGTGAACGACGAGTGATCGACCTTAAATTAATCTCTGTACTCAAGGCTCGACATTATTTAACTAAAGGATACTCGTCTTTCTTAGCGTATGTCCTAGATTCGACAAAGGAGATGAAGAAGAAGACTCTGGACAATGTACCAATAGTACGTGAATTCCCAGACGTGTTTCCTGAAGACTTGCCTGGATTGCCACCAGATAGACAAGTGGAGTTTAGAATTGACTTGATACCGGGTGCAGCACCGATAGCGAAGACTTTTTATCGTCTAGTGCCTCCAGAAATGAAAGAAATGATGGATCAACTACAAGAGCTCTTGAATAAAGAGTTCATACGACCGAGCACTTCACCATGGGGTGCTCCGGTGTTGTTTGTCAAGAAGAAAGACGGATCTTTCCGGATGTGCATCGATTATCGTGAGCTGAATAAGGTAACAATTAAGAATAAGTAYYYRTTACCCCGTATTGATGATTTGTTYSATCAGCTTCAAGGTGCAAGGTTCTTCTCCAAGATTGATCTTAGATCAGGTTATCACCAGCTAAAGGTACGGGAGGAGGATGTACCTAAGACTGCTTTCCGTACGAGATATGGCCATTATGAATTTCTGGTGATGCCTTTCGGTCGCACAAATGCCCCAACTGCGTTTATGGACTTAATGAATCCAGTATGTCGTTCGATGCTCGATAAGTCTGTGATTGTATTCATTGATGACATTCTTGTGTACTCGAAGTCTGAGACCGATCACGCAACACACCTTTGACAAATGCCGGAGTTGTTGAGAAAAAAATGACTTTATGCTAAATTTTCAAAATGTGAATTTTGGCTACGTCAGGTACAATTCTTGGGACATACCGTGTCCGGTGACGATATCTCTGTGGATCTTGCGTAGATTGAAGCAGTGCAAAAATGGGAGCAACCCAATAATGCCTCAGAGTCGGAAAGCATACGTGAATCCTGTATGTTATGCTATCACTCATATGTCTATGAAAACCAATCTGTTCGACGATATATGAAAATGGCTGCAAGAGGCTTTGAAGCCTGAGCATGTCAAGTCGGAACGGATGGTGGGTCATGTCAACTCTTTATCTGAAGACTCTCGTGGTTTGAAAGTCTTTAAGACCCGAATCTGGGCCCTAGATTTGGTGGTGCACGAGATATTGTATTGGCTGAGGCGCATAAATCGAGAATGTCTATCCATCCAGGAAGCACTAAGATGTACTACGATTTTCGTACTGATTACTGGTGGCCGGGGATGAAAACCGATATTACACATTATGTTGAGCAGTGTATTACCTGTATGAAAGTGAAGGCAGAGCATCAAAAGCCATACGGGAGTTTACAGCCTTTAGAGGTTCCAGTGTGGAAATGGGAGGAGTTAACAATGGACCTAGTTACGAAGTTGCTAAAGTATAATATCCGTGTTTCGTTAACTCGTACAAATTGGGTTAAGAGAAATTTGGTAGAATTATGCATAATATATTTGTACCCTATGCTTAACCAATTTGTACCCTAGACTAGTTTTACGTCAAAATGTGTTTATATCTATATTGACGTAAAAGTTGAGAATATAGACTTGAAGGGTAAAAACCGTCAAATAGTTAAACTTTATATATATATATATATATATATATATATATAATGAATAAAAAAAGTATATATATATATATATATATATTGCATGAGGCCGTGAACCGTCTCTCTCAATTCTCTCTCTCTCTAAAACTGTCGTCTTCTCTCTAGATTTTACGTTAAGTTAGTAAGGGGATCGAGACAGCAATTATATATTCAGAATCCACTCTCCGAACCCTTCTTAAAGGTATAAGTTTCATTCAGTTTCATTAAGGTATTTATTTTAGGATTATTTAGACCGGTTTATAAATTGTGTTTATATCTAAGTTTACGGATTGATGTTATCAAAATTATGATATATTTGATGTTTAGGATGCTAAGACTGAATATATTGATGTAGAAATGAAAAGAGTATATTATAGTTTCAATATGGTTAGATTGTGGRTAAATGTTTAACCGTACACCAATTGTTCGGTTAAATGTCGAAACGAGTAAAAATGCATGATTAAGCTTAGGTTAACGACCGTTAGATTTGTTTTACTGTTTAGTATGTTGAAGTATGTTTATAGCATGTAAATGTAGCGAATCATGAAAGTTGGATCATAAAAGTTAGTCGGAAATTACGGAATCGAATTTTACCGACAATGCAACCCCTGTACTTTGGCAGTGTATAACTCACAAACTGTAAGTCAGATTAAGCTCGTATTTTGCAGTCAGGAAGATGATACTGCATACTACAACTTTCATTTAGACAGTATAGTCTGGATTGGTCTCTAAGGTAGGTAAAAATGCTTAGAAATAAGAGGGTCGGAAACGGTTGGATCGAAAGAGAATAAGGTTAATTTTTTTTTACGTTTGAGTTTCAATTCGTATCAAGTACATTAAGACCTAAGTAAATTTATCAGAATAGTTATATTATGGTTTCTATGTTTTATAAATAGTAACCGTTTATGCATTCGTTAGGCACGCGGGTAAATCAAACTTGATCGTGAATTTCCGTTTGATCGTGCGTTAATTGTCAAATTCGGTTAAGGTATGGATTCCATATCTCACTTGACACGGGGATAGCCATTTGCGTAAGGCTTCCTAATCCAGATAATCTGTGATAAATTCCGAATAATTTATTTTGAATTCCYTTTATGCTTATCATATGTTATTGAACTTTGTTTCCTTTCGAATTACGACTTATATTCTTATTCGGAATATAGATCATTTTGATCACTTGACTTGTTTTATTGCTTTATTTGTGAAACATTTTACCATAGACTCAATAACTGGAGCACCGGTATTGAGATGTTTGCATGGTGACTAAAACGATCATGGCGTCCTTATTTTTATAGTCCTTAAAAGTGGACTTGATTATGTACCCGTCGAATAGAGGGCGTATGGATCGATCCTAGGAACCATTATCGGATATTGAATTATGGCCGTGGTTAAATCCACGGAGAGGATTGTTGTGTTGTGCTCACACCTCCTTCCTCACTTGTGCCTGAATGGACTGATCATCTATTGGGAACAATGTGTCCTCGTGATGCGATTTGGTCTTCGGACCCTTGATATGCTTTTGGGGCATTTTGACTTTCTTTTGAATTATCACTTGGCGTTATAAATTGTTTTTGAACTTGTTATCTCATATTCATTGTTTATTTATATTATTATCCGTTCACTGAGCATTAAGCTCAGCCGAGATTTTCTTGTCCTCRGCAGGTACATGACTTAGCAGGGATTTTGGGATGAGAGCTACGGAGATGACAATATTGAAGATAACCCATTACATCATACTTTTTCAAACTTTTGATGACTAATGTAGACATGCTGGTATTTTGGGACCGTATTTTGAGACACGTTATCTCCGTTTGTGGTTATGTAATTATCTTTGGGTAAATTTTATTAGCTGCTCTGTTTTATATAGCACATGTTGGTTTTATTCCAATTGTGACATCACCCGTCTTTGACCACGCGGGACGGGGGTGTTACAAGTTATGGTATTAGAGCTATAGGTTATGATCCTGTAGTACAATTTAGGTTTGATCTGTGAGAAATGGGTAGAACTAAGATAGGATTATCCTAGACTATATTTTCCCGAGGTGATAGGGATATGAAAAGAAACAGAGATGTGTTTCAAGGAAATTCTAGTGGGCGAGGAATTAATCGGATAGGTCTGTAGAAATAATCGAATTACAAATCTCCAATTTCATCTTAAGGAACTTCTGGTAAAGGTTTTTCGAATACAACTTCTTTGTTTCGGTGCAAAGATTGTGGTTTTAGACATCGTCCTGGCCCATGTATTCGAATGACCGGCACCTGTTATAATTGTGGTCAACGAGGTCATATAGCTCGTGATTGTAAACAAGGGACGAAAGATAATTCTAAAGATAAAGAGAAGCAATCTACTACCGATGGTCAAGTGTTTACATTATCTGCTGACAAATCTACTGCGGGTATGGTTTCTGGTACCCTTTATATTGACAGTGGAGATGCATATGTTTTATTTGATATAGGTGCTACACACTCGATTGTTTCTGAAAACTTCAAAGAAAATCTTAAATCATATGAACAATCCACTGAATTTCCATTACATATTACTACTCCTATGGGTAGTTCATTATGTATATTTGGGCAATTCTCAAACTGTCCGTTATTTATTGGCAATCGAATTCGGGAAGTTACTTTACTACCGATGAAAATGGATCAHTTYGATATCATCCWWGGCATGGATTGGTTGTCTAAACATCGA